CCACCATGGTCTGTCCTGTGCAGAATGACAAAATGCTAAATTATTTCTTCTCTAAAACCTCTTTAACTTTGCTCCAGTTCATTTTAACAACAGAAGTCTTTGCACAGGTGATGTCCACAAGTGGATTTATGAGTTTCAAGAGTTTTTAGCCTGATTCATTATGGTTTTAAATGGGTTATATACTGTCTAATGAAAAATTATTCAGATGGGAGGGGAAAAATTGTAAGAAAATTATGTTCCATCCTCAGTATCTCTAGAACAACAGCAGCTGTTTTAATACTTCTAATAAAAAGTGTTAACTTTATTGATTATTTAAGTAGAGTTTATAAATGCTGAGATACACTCGATTACATTTCAGCATGGTATTTTGAGCAAAAACATCAAGAAAACCCCTTGGGGCTTGAGAGGTTAATTTCACTGCAACTGTTTGTTTCTCTGCTCTACAACCCTTTGGTTCAGGTTGGGGATAAAACAGACTGGGACCTCGGCGTAGCCAAAGAGTCCATCAACAGGAAGGGGTCCATCACTGTCCGTCCTGACAACGGTTACTGGGCAATCTGCAGGCGCAAAGGAGAGAGTCTGCGAGCCTGCGCCGGACCCTCTGTCATCCTAAACCTCAGAGAAATCCCTCAGAAAGTTGGCATATTTCTGGACTATGAAGAGGGATCTGTGTCCTTCTACAACACGGAAACAAAGACTCATATTTATACCTACAGAGGATGTGGCTTCATTGAGCCTCTGTACCCTTACTTTAACCCTTGTCTCCAYGATAACGGGAAAAACACCGCACCATTGGTTATCTGTACAGTAGAAGGGCTTACTGTAGATGCAGCAGCACGATAAAATCTGGAAGTAGATTCCATATAATCCAACCAAGTATTTTCCTTTTGGGATTGTTGTGGAGATGGTACCTCTTCAGAAGGGCCACTGTGAAAAGGTCCAAGTCCATCACAGGGACACMTAAGGTCATTTTGCACTGAAAGCCATGGCCTGAGTTAAAACCTGAGTTCAGCATGTTTGCATAGCCCTTATGGCCCAAATCCAGCCCGATGTCAGTAACCCCAAAACCCATGGTTCTATCCGACCCAGGCTGCTCGCCTTATAATGCGCTACTGTTGTTCATTGATTGGTTCACTGGCCAGGGTGGTCCCTTCACACAGATATTAACTTTAATGACTCTTTACACAAGTTCAACTAAACCACTGTAGCAAGCTACCAATCAACAACAAGCTACCGTTAGCTTATCATCCTCTGTCGTACTGCTCTCATCTCAAGTGTCAGACTCCTAGATAGTTGAGTACAACTTTCTGTACTTTTTCTTCCAGTTTTGTGTATTCCATTATTRTGTTGTAAATAAAACGATGTAAGATTTGCATGTTTTTCATATGATGATGTCCGCCCACATCAAGGCAGCTCTCTACTCAAAGAAAACACAACCAGGGTCGGGGTAGAACAAGGCGAGGCAGATTGTGGATGTGCCGGGCCTTACAATGTAAAAATGCCAATAGAGACAAACAGCCATTTACAATAACACAGTAGCTGTCCACTATGTTTGATACCACCAATTTCTGTTCTGATTCTAATACAGATTTTATTTCTGATACTGATCTGATACTGATCTGATACTGATCCTTAGTGCACATTTTGTGACTGTAAATTGTCCTTAGGTGTGAGTGAGAGAGTGGTTTGTCTCTATGTGTCCCTGTGATGGATGTGTGACCCATCCAGGGTGTCCCCCACCCTTCGCACCGTGACTGCTGGATATGGACACCAGTGACCCCATGAAAGAAAGAAGCGGGTCGAAGATATTGGATGAAAAATAATGGATGAAATGAAAGAGATGTTTCAACTTAACTCAACTTACATTAAAAGTTTTAAGTAGTGTGTAAAATATGTAAAAAATGATATGTTTTTATTCTTGAGCTAATAAGATCTGCAAGCTTTTCTGCTTCAGTGAAGTAAAACATGGTCCTTCTGGTCCAGGTTCTGCCCACACTGCTGCCAATGTTTTTAAAATCTGTGGTCTTCTGATGTGCTTGCACCTCCCATTTACACATTAACGGAATATTTTTAATGAGAATTCATAAGGTTGCTTTTGCAAAGTGCAGACTTAAAAAAACTGAACAATAGCCCATTATCTCATTGTGTCCTAAAAACCCAAACAACAATGAAGCCATTTTTGCCATTTTGTTTCAGTATTTTTCTCGATTCATCCTGATCCAGCTGCCTTCAAACTTTGTTCATTTTCTGAAATGATTTATAATTAWAAAAATATGTTAAAAGTTGAAATTATTAAAATTTTACGAGTTGGTTGATAATTCATAATATTTTGCAGGTCATGTATAAGACTCATAAAAATGTATTACCTTTAAATATTCAATTAAATATTTTTAAGAGAGTAAGWAATTACAATCTTAAGTGGCTAGAGATGTTTGTAAAGCCTAAAATTCGAACAAATTTGAATAATCACTGTACTTCAGTTCAAGGAATAAGACAGTGGAATAAGCTGGAAAGTKATTATAAAAATGCTGGCTCAATAAATTTGTTTAAGAGAATGATAAAAGTTAGTTTGTTAAAGAAATATGAATTTGTATAATGTGTGTTCATAAGAGCTGTTGTTAAGGAAGGAGTTGAAATTTTTTGTTATGTTTTGTTATTTGAAGATTATTATTTGAAGATTAATAATGTTTGAATTTATTTATTTTATACATATTTTGGGGAGGGGGTGAAATGAGCAGATAATAAGATTTTTTCTTCTTTCTGCTGCCTTGCATTTTATTAGATTTGTATTATTTGTTTTGTTTAGTTTTTTGTTTTTTAAATGAAAATTAATACTTTTTTACCACTACTAAAAGTGTCAATAAAACAAGTTTAAATGTACTGAGATAAGCATGATCTTTTCAGTAGTTTGATGTGGACATTCTTGCAGCAGTGTTTTTGTTGGAATAGTGTGGATAGAGAAAATATATATCCAATTCAAGAAAATAGTTAAGTGACGATTGGGCCACAGAATAAGCAATTTTCCTGTTTTGATTTTAAGTAATTTAAAAAAACTGATAAAACATTTGCAACAAAATTGACTGAAATCTAACAGAAAACTGAGCCTCAAAGTCAAAATGCCAAATCATCATATACAATTCAAATTAACATTTTTTTAATCATAATACTAATGTTTGCACAAAAAAAATCCTTTATTTTTTCCCCAGCCTCCTCAGTGGGATCCAAGTAAAGCAGAGAAAGGGGGAGCTGGGGGGGAGTGGGTGGGGGTTCGAAGAGGCGTGAAAACAGAATATGCTTGTGATGTGATTAAACGTCTGTTGTAACGCAGGGGTTCCCTGGAACAGAAACAGTCACAGGAGAGAAGGAACAGAAATAAAGCCGGAGGTAACGAATGAGGCAAATGCTTTTGGGATGCTTCAACTGTCCTGAGACGAGCTGCTGCAGGAGGAAGAGGTGGGTTTCTAACCATGTTTCTGATTCTGTTTGCTTTTATTAGTGACTGCTTGGTTCARGTTCAGGGCATAAGAAAAACTATGTTCTAAGTAAAAAAAAGTAAATTTCAATATCTGGTTTTGTAGTTGACYAAACAAGAATGGTTGTTTCTGGTAGATCGCTTCTGTTTTGGGGTTTGTGTTTAAGTGAGGGAATGCAGCCACAGCTAGAGGGGAGATGGATGGAGAACAGAAATATTTCCCTCCAGATGGCCTCTCAGTGGTGGGACTGTGATAGTCCACAATCCTGCCCCCTGATTCAGCTGCCAACACTAATGTGGGCCGAATATGGGCCAAAATGTTACCTCATACTTGTTTTAAAACAAGTGTTAATCATTTTTTACCGTGGTATTGATTTGATGTGGATTGATTTGACTAAATATATTTAATTCTAGTTATTAGATTTTAAACTGTCAGAAGATGTCGGCTGCTAGATTTGATAATTTCAGTTATTTAATTTTTTATATCAAAAACTCAAAGAACACTGGTCATGATGATTATGGTTACTGGAAGTGATTACTGGTTAGTGATGATGCTGATATTGATGTGTTTGGTAATTGATTGGTTGATTGACTGACCGACTAACAGGTTGGTTCATTTATTGATTGATTTGTTTGGTAAGWGGTTATTTAAATTGCTGATTCCCAACCAGGGCAACGTGTACCCCTTGGGGTACRCAAGCATATTACAGGGGGTACGTGGAAAAATTTCCCAGGTGTGTAAAAATAATAATAAATAAAGGATTGAGATTGGTAGGGCCCTATTATTTCTGAAATGYAGAAATTGCAGACAGAATCATGCAATTAACACAAAATGAAATCCAGTATAAAATGTTGAATCTCGTGGAATTTGGGTAAGTTTCTGACATATTTTGGACAACACACTGTATTTTGGAAGCTGCTGTTTTCTGCACCTGCCATTACCTGGTTTATTGAATTAATTACTTATTCACTTTCAATGCAATATTTTGTCTTTATGTTTAATTTGAGTTGGAAAAAAAATAAAACAGGGATTAAATGTTCTAGGGGGTTAAATAAAAAATCAGTTGTAGTACATTATAGTTGTGGAGAATCATCATTACGTTTGACTGAGGGGGTACTAGTGTTATGACAAAATGGCTCAGGGGGTACACAAGTCTAAAAAGGATGGGAACCACTGGTCTGAAGTCCTGAAACATTCCAACACTTTTAGAACCATGGACAGTTCCTTCAGTCCTTCCTTCAGAGCTCAGTGGGTACAACACAACAACACAACAACAATGGTTGGAAACCACTGATTTAAATGATTGATTGATTGATTGATTGATTGATTGATTGATTGATTGATTGATTGATTGATTGATTGATTGAATTACAAGTAATTTATTTAGTTCAGTTTTTATTTTATGTGATTTTGTTTTTGTTTGAAGTTGAATTGATTTCAAACACACCTTAGAAAAGGGGTGAATGAGGGGCTTTTTCTCAAGTGTGTGTTWGTAATAGTTTATTTTACATTTTATTTCATCCTAATGTAACTTGGTTTGCTGATTCACAGGCCTGAAACTTCAGAAACTCCTGTGTCTGCCCCAGTTGGTTATCAGCCACTCCTCGTGTAGCCTGTTGAGTTGGACGCCTTCACCTACTTCCTGTCTGCTGTTAAGGAAARCTGCCACCTTGATGCCAACTAGAATTTGTCACCAGAGGGGATCTAACTCCTGACAGTGCTGGCAGAATTTTTTCCATTTACTTGACTCACTGAAGGAGAAACCTCTGGATTCTGGTGAAAGTATGCCCTTGTAGCTACAATAAAGTGCACCACAAGTTGATCCTGAGGAGTTCTTGTGGCCATTCAGGAGGAAAAATACCAACAGAAGAACAAGGAGCACTAAAGCTTGGTTCTAATTTGGAACAATGGTTGTTCCAGTCCTCTCTACACCCAGCTTGCCACCACAGGTTGTCCTTCTTGCTGGATTGCTGCTTCTGGGCCAGTGGGGGCCTCCAGGAGTCAGATGTCAGAATGAAACTGAGCCGATTGTGTTGGAGGGAAAGTGTCTGGTTGTGTGTGACTCCAAYCCATCAGCAGAGCCATCAGGAAACGCTCTGGGCATGTCAGTGAGGTCAGGAACTGGCAGGGTGGCATTTTCAGCCATCAGGAACACCAACCATGAACCATCAGAAATGAGTAACCGCACCATGACCATCTACTTTGACCAGGTGGGTTGTAATGTTGTCTACAGAGTGGTAAAGGTATAACCCAACAGAAACAAAAAGGCACCAAGCTCAATTTAAAATGGTCATCAGCCAAAGCTGTTGCAACTATAAGTTCAACAGACAACTGATTTGTCCACAAGCTGATTTGAAACAGCTTTTATATTTGTRAAGAGGAAACTTAACCAACAAACTGATGGAAAACAGTCTGGAATAAATACATTTTACACAGACATGTACTGTAAATGTTTTTAACTTTTTGAAGATGACTGAAAAAACAAAAGAGCAGTTTTCATGAGATAAAAGCTAACATTGTATCCTGTCAGATACTTTATACCAGAGCTATTCAACTTTATTGCTCAGGGGGTGGGGGTTGAAATACTGCAATATGTCTTTTACCTTTTTTAATGTATTTAAAATTATTTTATGTTCATATTATTATACTGAGTCATAAATTAAAGTTAAAATGAATTTCTTTGCAAAAAMTGTTTAAAAGAATCATTGTAATTAATTAATTAATTTTTGGGGGGTCTCATAGGTGGGACGTACAAGTTAAGCAGATTTGAAATTTAAGTGACTAAAACAATAAATTTTAAGAAACCATGTTAGATGTATAAGTATGTATTTGGAAA